TTCAAGCTCTCAAAACATTGTGAATATTTTAACTTTTATGGATCAAGTTTATGTATAAAGGTTTAATCTATTACAGTGACAGGATGAAATTATTTGTCTTTAAGTGTGAGAGATGAGAAGAGTTCTTGATTATATTCACATTTCATGGAGAATTCTACTATATTGTGTGCTTATGTTAGTAACAGTAAGGATTTCAGGTTAACTGTAGAAAAATACAGTTCTTGCAAAAGCAGGTCAGTCAGCAATAAATATAAATCCTAAAGAAGGTATAGTTTGGCATATTGGCTTCATTGCAGTTTTTTATATGTATAATGAAACCCAATTATCTGTGGAGAAAATTTGACTTTGTGGAATGGAATTAAATTGCTTTTTAAAGGCTTTTTCTTAAACAGCCCTAGCTGGAGGGAAGTCCAATAACATTTTTAGCTCTGAATTGTAACGACTTTGCACATTAATAAATCATGTTGTGTTCTGACTTCTATCAAAAGATTCCAAAGAAGAAAACTATCCATGGCAGGTTGAAGCTGCAGGGGAAGTCCTGACTGGTTTTTCTTCACCCAGCTACTTACGGCTTTTTGAAACCAGCAATTCCTGTGGATCAGTGCTTAAAGAGGTAGGTCCAAATCCATATAATCCTATGAAAACAATTGGTAAATATAAATTCATGCTAACAAGTGAATTGTCAAACTGGAATATCTGTAATGTAGTCTGGCTACTTAAACCAATGTTCTTAAAGAACCAAGGGGAAAAATTCTATTAATGTTCATCACATTTAGGGGGGTGGGGGTGTTGTTTTGAGGGGTTGGGATATTTTTGTGGGTTTCCTTTGTTTGCTTTAATAAGGTAATACCTTGTTCTCTTTATCCTATTTAACTCTTGTCTTGATATGGAACTGGGTACAAGATTAATTTAGGAAGTAAACTTTTTCAAAAGAGATGGTTTAATTTCTCAACAATGTGAGAATATGCCTGTTGCTGTAATTCATGTACTACCAGTACTAGCAGCTAGCTAGGTAAGTTTCTGGGCTTAGTGTTGAATGGAGGGAGGTTTTGTACAGTATGTATTTGGGATTCAGAATCTGAAGTCTTACAAAAGAAAAGCGTTTATTTGAACACTGGTTTGTCTGCTGCTGTTAGCGCTAAAGTAATCAGGGAAGGGGGAGAGTGGGAAAAGATACTGTCAACTTCTAATTTTTCCTAAAAGATCATGTATCAAAAGTATAATCTGTAAGAGGAACATGAACTGGTGAAATGTACCTCTGGGGCTGGTTTCCTATGTTATTATGGAGAGTGTTTGTAATTATCTTGCTGAGTTGTAATCCCTGACATTTGCTTTCACAAAGCATCTAGTGAAGAATGCAATACCCTAATTATCTTTCTGTGAAAGAGTTGTGGGGGAAGACAGGGAGGGGGAGGAATTGCACTCTTTAGCACAGCATTTTAAAGAAAAGCTATTTCATTAATAAAAATTTTGGGAAAACTAAGGATACCTTATCAACTGTAATTCCTTATTGGCTTACATTACAGTGTACAAACGTAGTTGGGCATATGTTAGTTGTAAGTTTTTTTCTAAACTACATGCTGGACTTTCCTACATCCTAATCAAAACAGGCACTGGCTCCAGTCTAAATATTTTTATACCTTTAGCTTTGGTATCTTATGTTTTTCAGTATTTTCTGAGATACAGGAAGTCTAGTTATCACATTTTAAACAAATATATTCTGTTTGAAAGCAACAACAAAAAAAAAAGCCCAGTGCTTTCTCAAATGATGATTTACAGTAGCTTTTATATTAAGGAAATGAAGATCAAGAATAACAGTGAGTTAAAATTGAATTACAGCTCATGAAGATCCCCTTATGTTATATTCTTTTATATAGGGAAGTAGCCATAAACAATGTGAAGTTTTAAAACTGATTTTTAATCGCAGGAGAGCTCACTTTTTATGGATAGGTTTGTCCACAAACTGAGGCAAAAGGTTAATTGAGGTTGCATACTTGAATACATTATGTGCTTTTCACCTCTGTAACACAGTTGCTGGAACGCTGTGCTTTTCTTATATCTGAATAAGTTTTAAATACAAAGGTATTTACTAAGGAATCATTAAAATGGGATCTCCAAAGGAAACTGGATACGTGATACCAGTATGTGGCTTTGTTCACCAAAGTGGGGCTGTGTGGGTTACCTGAAAGAAATGATTCCAGCAGTCTGTTCTCAAGCAGATTTCTCAGATGCAGGATTGTTATACAGGACATACCTGGCTTTCTTTATGCTCTCCTTTTGGTAAATCAATTCAAACTGTTCAAATATCACATGGTACATGAGACTACTTATCCAATGCTTTGCCCATAATGCCTGCTTTTATTAGATGAGCTGTACAATTTTCATATATTAAAAAAAAAGAAAGTAAAAAATCCTTGCTTTTCTTCCCCCTTAAGCAGCTCTGTTTTCCTTCTCTCTCTGTGCTTCTGTGTTTTTGTTGTGAAACCCCCCCAAACCAACCATTAGAACCAATAGACAAACATCACCCTTTACATAAATCCCATCATTTGTACTTTATAACAAGGCATCTTATTACCAGTGACTTGGGGTAGACTTGTCAGGGAAGAATGGCCATCTTCCTGCTCAAAGGTGACCTCCAGAGAGCGCAGAAAGTCTTTGGGCAGAATACTTCCCTCTTGTCTCAAAACTTGAAGAGAGTTGTTTCCCTCACAGACACAGCCTGGGTTTCTTTCTGTAAAAGCAGGGAGGGTGTTTGAGGCAGAAGTCATGCCTTCTTAGCAAGCGTTGACTTCTCTGACTTCCCACGAGCTGCCATGCTCTGACATGAGCTCGCCGCAGAAAGTTTTCCTTCCTTTTCATTCTTGCATAAACTGATGTTTTTTAATGCTGCGTTGTTTTTGAATGACGTGTGTGTTCGTGTAGCTACCAAATCGGCAGCTGATGAAGATGTAGCAGGTGTTGGAAGATGTACGGGAGGCTCAGTTCAGGGTGAAATATCCCAGGGTATTACACTGAGGAAGGCCTAACCAGTCATTTTTGAAATAGAATATGACTGTGCTCAGGAACCTGTCACGTGGTCCTTGGTGGGACCTCAGACCATTCTTTTCACAGCACAGTATCCCTGGTCTCCATTTTGCAGTGGTATTTGTGTGCTGGGTAGGGTATACATTACCAGGCAGGAAAACGTGTACTCCACAGCCTTTTGGTGATACAGCTTCATGGCCACATTGTCATTTGCAAGGGGCTCGTACAGCTCTTTTTCACTCTACACTAACTCAGGGGATCTGCCTGGTATATATTTCCCCAGCAATTTTTAACTCAGTTTAGTGACAACAGTTTGCTCAAAACAGAAGGGAACAGGTGCAGAATGCTTTAGATTTTGTAATAAATTATTTTTTTAATATATGAAAACTATTAATTGTAAATATATTTATGATTGAAAGTTGTTTGGGTTTTTTCCCTACATGATGCCAGGCATTTACATAAGCTAAAAAGTACAGTCCTATGGATATCTCTGTCTTTAAGAGCTGGTATTCCATTTGACATGAATGAGATACTCTGGAATTAGACAGGACCAGTGCTGAATGCAGTGTCCTGGTTCTTTAAAACGCATTGGGTAGTCTAGAGGTATTCTGCCACACAGGGTGAGTTACACTGAATAACCCTTATTTCCTTTCCTGCTTGTCTGCTTGTTTTCTTGTTGGACTGGAAGAATTTTGAAAGGCACTGGATGCTTGGCATTTTTTGTATGAGTGTAATTAAATTGTCAAACATGCAGAAAAGGTTGCTTTGAAACACTATAAAGTGACCATTGGCAAGTTTCAAAATAACTGACATGCGGAGTTTTTAACATGTCGTTTTGAAGTTGCTGATAAAGTGATTATTTATGGAATGGGTAGGGAGGCTTCTCTGAATTGATAGGTTCTGCCAGGTTAAAATACTGGTTTTGATGTTATGTCTTTGATTTAGCAGTCTGAACTGTTTTTAAAAACCCTACATTTTATAAATCTAATTTTACTGCCATGTGAAATATTTTCTGGTAATCTTCAACTTTTACAGCTTAAAATTCCCTTAGAACAATCCAACCCACCCACCCTAAGGCAAGTACACCCATACACATACGCATCTTTCTGCAACCTGCTTGAGATGAAGTTAAGATTGGCTTAAATAGAAGGAGAAAAGTGTTTTAAAGCTGAAGTCTTACATATAGGCTGAGCTTATACAATACTTATACAGAATGCAGAATCATTAGCTTTTCATATAATAACGCATTGCTTCCTGAAAGTCCAACACAGAGTGTAAATGTGAGGATATTTTGTCAAACAGCTTCATTGACTGTGTCTTTCTGAATAAATTCTTAAGCTCCATGTCATATAAAATAAAAACACCCACCTTTTTGTGCAAGTAAAATCTCCTCATTGAAATATAAAACTGCTGCAAGACTGAAATGAGTATCTGCTGCTTCTTATGGCAGATAATTGGCTATCTACTTGCTCTAGCACAATTTTCTGTTGGAGACACTAACTCCATTTCCAGTCACTGCTGAGAACTGATGGAAAAACTGCTGAAGCATTTGCACTAAATTGCTCTGTTTCTTAATACCTAGAATATTTGAGCAAAGATGCATGTTATATATTCAAACTGTTTTATTTCTCCATGTATTACGAGAATTCAAAGGAAGGCAGAGCAAGAATTATTTACCTTAGAGAATTGGAATCCTGTTTTACTGCTGAAGTCTTGTTGCTGTGTTGTCCAACAGCAGACTAGATGAGATTTCAAAATTAAAATCAATACTCCTAAATTTGCATAGGATTACTGCCTATGTACGTGAAACCTAAAACATTTTTCTTAGCACAACCAGAACAATTTACTGATTTTTTTATTATTTTTTTTTTCCCCTGCCCTCCCTCTCCAGGGCGAAAGAAGATCTGTGTTAAAAGTAAAGTGCTAGCAGATAAAGAGTTAAACTGAAGGCAGGCTCACTGGTTTGTTGAGATCTGTCAGAGTCTGAGTGGCTGACTACATATCTGTCTCAGGAACAATAGCTACCTGTATTCTGCACGGACTGTTGGGCAGGCACTAGCAATATGGAGAAGGTCTGCCTCTCTTAGAGGCTTTTCAGTGGGAATCCCTAATGACAGCCCTACTTCTCATTGGGAGGGGGGAGGACTCTTGTCTACTTCGTTGATGAGGGACAGAGCTTTGATCATTTTCATTCAGCCTTGACTTGGCCTGAGGTTTAGGTTCCCAGTCCTGAAGTCAGCAGGCTCTCTTCTCACACATGCACGCACACACATTCACACACACCCCTTTGCTGGTCTGTGCAGGCAGATTAGTGTCACGGCTGTAACTGAGGCACAGAGCAATAAACATAGCAGAACCAATCTCCATGGTGGCAAGAGGGGGCACTGGAGGTGACAACAATGGAGAAGGATCTTTCTTCTGACAAGTTTTAGGTAAGAGAGAATATTTATACCCTCAGCCAAGTATTTTATAGCCTTCTAAATAAGTTGGAAATTGTTAGGTTGCAAACGTGCCTTGTTATAGAAATATTTGAGTTTACTGCTGTATCCAGGCTGTTACTAGCTTTTACAACCTGTAATTGCTGTGCTTTGTGTTACGAGAATGTTTGCAGAAAGCAGGCAGGGTTTTTCCATGGAAGTACTAGCTACTATAGTTACCTTCTTAAAAATACAATGTTTCTAACATTTGCATTTTTAAAATTAACCATGAAGCTTCATTTTGCCTATGTTAAAATTATGCTTAGGTATAGTAAATATCCATATCTGGTAAAATGTTGTGTAGCTGATAGCATACATGCAATATTAAAACAGTGCTCCCTCAACCCTAATTCGTAATTATTTTTACACCCTTAACTGCATTGGGGTCAGAGAGTTTTAAAAATTAATGAGGTTCCCTGCTGAGTTCAAATAGTATAATCTACATGAGTTGTTTCTGCAGAGGGCTGAAATTACTTCTGCGTATTTTTAATTAGGTTTAGAAATTTTGCTTAAATATATTGCTTTCAAACACTTTCTTTTAAATGTCAGTTTATGCAACCTGCAGTAAGAAAGGAACAATGATCCATTTATAATAATGACAAATTGAGTGAGAGAAATACAGGACATACAGTGACAATACAACACAAACATTTGCTGGATGCGTTTTTTTATTTCTTATGTTAGACCTGTGTTAGATTGCTGAAGCTGTGATCAGCTTCACCTGCTTACAAATAAATACTACTCTAGGGAAAGGAAAAACAACAATACTTAATGCTTTGTGTAAGATTGGAGTAATAGGTTACCGATGTGTTTGGAACATTAAGAAGAATTGGTGGAGCACTTGAAAATATATATAAAAAGAGAATAGCAGCAGTGTGAAAAGAGGCAGTAAAAATGAAATAACGTGCTATCCTTTTTCCTGGAAGCGCGAGACAGATAGTATCATCAGTGCTCCTGGAAAGTAGAATTTGCTGAATATCTCAAATGGAAGGACTAGGAAGAAAGGGGGAGGGAGATGTTTACTATGAGATTTCCATATTGAAATGATGACAAAGTTTCATACCACAAGATTTAAAACATTGTTTATTATTTATTCTAATCTACAGTGCATTATGTTTAAATGGTAAGCGTTTTAAAGCTGAATGTAATGTAATCAGCACTAAGGACGCGCCTACCATTTGCAAGACGGACTCTGAGCTTCCTGTGATATATTGTTATGTAAATATGGTGCAGCAAGGAAAAGCAGCACTATGGAGATTCAATTTACTTTGAAAGTTGTTCATTATGGAAGGGATGAATGTTATTTATTGGATGTGAATCAAAGGCTAGAAATGACTTTTTCACTGTGAAGTCTATTGTGATGGGTGCAGCGTGATCTAATCTTTTTAATTTTGGCTTTCACACCAGTGGAGATGAAAAGAGATCTGAGCTCATTTATTGGTTGCTAAGTCTTACTGGAGGCCTAAGTACCATTCTTGGTTGCTATGGCCAATCTGACCTCAATCTATGAAGTTTTAGAGACTTAAGCAATCCCTTTTTTATTTAGGAGCATGTACCTTGATTTATGTCCAAAATTGTGCCCGAATGTCTTTGTCTACAAGTGATAAATGGTGGTGTACAATTCATCAGTTCTTACAAGTAAACACTGCTGTCCCACTAAAAATATGTTTTGTTCTGAGTTAATGGTATGGAACAAGCCAGTCTCCACAAACAGCTATCTTTTATTGTAGAGAGCCACTGAAACTTGGAGCAAAGTGAAGGAAATTGGCATTCATCTTCACTGCCATTAGCATTTCATTTGTGCTCTCTGGTGATGAGACTGTATGTCAATTGACAATGAAAGGCCAGCATTGTGTTTCCTTGCTTGAATATATAATTGATCAATTATGAATTTATTTATTCTGTAGAGATAGTAAAAAGTCAGGATTTCTTACGCAGTTTGCCTTCATTATTACTAACTGTAAAAGTATTTGCAGCCAAATAAACTGTGGCTTGGCTGTAGGAAATTCCCGGTTTCTCAGGCAAGTTCCTTGTATTCAAGTCATATCACATATTTTTTATTACCAGGCATGTACTACTTGTGTGGTTCTTAATGGTGCTTAGTCTCTCATGTATATTAGAATTTCATTCAGAAGGAGCTGTTCTAAGAGGTAATTGGGAATACAGAATGGTTTTTATAATATGAGCAGTAATAATTTTGTTGCATTGAAATTGCTGGGAGTCACTCAGGCTGTACCTACACCAAGCACATGTAATACTGAATACACAATAGCACAAGCAAAATCTTTTCCTGGTTTCTTTGCTGCTTTTGTTTTATTTTAGTTTTGTTTTGTTTTTAAATAGACTAATAATAAATAAAACTATATGGAGCTGGATGTTAATATGGCTTCTACTAAACTGGCTAACATAGATTTACCAGTCCATAGAGGCAAAAGTCATCAATTGTTGATCTTAGGACTTGATAGTATAACAAACGTATTGTTCAAAACCCCAAATTCTTGCTTTTAAAAAAGGTAAGGAATAGGTTGCTGTAATAGAGTTCAGTATAGCTAAGCACATGCGGAGCAAAAATAATTCTTCATTGTATGCATGCTTAAGCTAGTGTCCTAGAAATAAAAGCAGTATTTCCTGAAGCCTGTTTTTTTCTTAGCTTATTTTTATTAATAGGCTATGGTGAGATATTTTAATTGAGCCCATTGAGACAATTTTTAGTCTACCTCAGGTGAATCTTTAAAATTTGGTTCAATAGTGGTAACAGATTTTCCCAGTATACTCTGTAGATGGTAATTGCTACTGGAATAAATTCTCAAGGAGATGGAATTTACAAAGGTTTCTGGAACCACTGAGCTGCTTTTCAGCATCGGATTGATAGCAAAATTTGCAGAGGCAGTTCTTTGGGGTTACTTCACAATAGTGCGACTGCTTCAGGGCTTTTTATTAGTAGCTTTTGCTAAAACTGGTTTGAAATGCTAGTTACAGAACTAACCTGAATGTTCTTCTTGTGCAGGTGCTTTGTAATAGTCCATGCTCATCTACTGGCTGCTTTATACAATAAGAAACTGTTAAACCAGTTCTGCACACTTGGAAGCAGATCTTTTGATTTTCTCTTTCTTTTCTTTTTTTTTTTTTTTTTTAATTTAAGCACTACCAAAGAAAAATACCTTTTTTTAAAAAAAAAAAAGTTTATGAAAGAGAAATATCTTAGAAAAACTTGTAAAAATACTAATGAGTAGTAATTTGTTGTGAGTGTGATGGTATTTCAGTGTTAACTATTTGTTTCTACAAATGTAAGGAGAATAATAGCTAATTCTTTAATCTGATGAAAATTTTAATTGGGTAGCACAATGATTAAAGTTTTATTGAAGGGTGTATATCTTTGGTCTTTTTCACACCTGCATTTAAGTTAACTGGTTTCTGCATGCACAGACAGAAACTGCTTCAGGTGTAAGGGTTTATAGGAACAGGACACAAAGTATGCCCTTGTTCTTGTTATATTTTAGTCTTCTATAAGGCAAGTGTGATAACTGACATTCCCACTTCAGAGCTCAGAAAGTGTACTTAAGAGAATGCAAATAGAGTATCTCTGTAGTTCAGTAGTGCAACAGTGTTGATTAACTGGCAAAAATGTCACCAGCACCTAGGTGGAGTACCAAAGTGAGAAAGAAACATCACTGCATTTTTTGGGAGTCCCTTCAGCTTATTAATCAGGTTTCCTTCACTGATATTGCAATTTTAAGTTTTGTAGCAGACTTTATGAAACTTAATATTAGTGAGATCCATCAAATTGCACATTGTTGCAGCAAAATAGGAAGTATTTATAAGCTTATTTTAATCAGTGGTCATCTGTAAATAAAGTTAATCATTATTCTTTATTGTAAGCCGCTGCCTTATTGGCTAATTTATAGTCCAGGTTTTGAAATAAGGGTATAACAGTGGAGGAACCTGCACAATTTTGCATGTAATCTTGACAATAACATGTACAGATTTTTTAATATATATTCACTGTGGAATTCTCTAACATTATCAACCAATAGTATCTTTTGGAAGAGAAGTAGAAGAATAGATCATATTATAATGTACCAATCGGTGCATAATCATAAATCTTAGAGGATTTCCCCCCCCCCCCTTGTGTTTTTCATGAGATGTTTGCATGTTCTCTTATATGTGTCCACCTGTGACATGTAAAACCAATTCCCTTAACTTTTTGAATTTTGGATGAAGCCAAAACTGTGTATGTATTTTTGGAAGGTACATTTAGTTTTGACTAAGGTCTTTGTTACACTGTACCAGGTTACAGTAGGTCATACACCAGTAAAACAGCATGGAGGAATTATAAACTAAAGAATTTGTTATTTGCCTTTGAGTTCTCTCGCAGCTTTGGCACAGATCACATGCTGGGGACACCAGAGATGAGATAGTTCCCAGATGAGATCTGGCTTACCCAGCTTACTCTTCCCTCTGGCTGGAAGTGGCAAGCAAGGTATGAGTGGTTCACTGGGGAAAAAGCCTGTGGCTCTTGTTCCTTTCGCCTGGGACAGCTGAGTCACCCACCTGAGCACATGCTGGGGCAATCTCTCCGTCTCTCACAAGTGAACACCATGTATTTGTCTCTACCAGTGTCACTGTTTGTCATCAGACATGCATTTATATTTACCTAAGTGATCTAAGGCTACTAATGTGTTCTTACGCTCAATTTCCTGGTATAATTTGCCATACCTCAGAGTCTATCTGTGGGACTTTTCTTGTTCTCTCTCTTGAGATATCATTTTGACTAAAGTCTCATGGAGGGTGGAAGGAGGGTCTGACTCAGGTGGTTTTTATTTTACCTGCAGAGGAAGACTTTAAGTTTGATGCTGAACAGTAATAGCACAAACACTTTTAACATCTGATGATTGATCCAGGTATCATCAGTGTGCCATCACTCCTCTCAATTGGATGCCTTTCCATCTTTGATA